AGGCCCGAAATGTCAGCCTTCCTGCTCCTCTGATGCTGCTTGGCCTGCTGTGTTCATCCAGCTCTACACCTTCTTATCTCAGATTCTCCAGCATCTGCTGTTCCTACTATCCCTGAAACAATTTTAACCACCTAACTATTCTAAGCCCATTTTTCCAGCTCTTGGCTCATTGCCTTGTATGCCTTGGCATCACAACATGTAATTACATTGTGGTAGGTTTACATACGCAATTTCCATCTTAAATATGGAAATATGTATTTATAATTGGAGGAATGGAATTAAAACATTGACAGTGGTAAGTTTTAGAAGACTATATTTTAATCTTTTCTACAGATAACGAGGTCTGTGATGCAAGCGATAGTGTCCCTGCCTCTAAGCTACAAGCTCTAAGTTTGAGTTCCTACCTCCCAGGAATGATGGACACGGAAGGTGCCATCATAATGCACCCAAATATGTTGAGAATCACCTGGCAAATCTTTCCAACTCATGCCAATGGCAAGTGGGTGAGAAATCCCTAGATAGTTGTGTGATGTTAAGAAATTTGGGGCCTTGACCATCATTAATTGTAGCTCTAGTCTACAGCATGTGTGTAAATGTGAGAATTGAACACGTGTAAACGTGGTTGTTGCCACAGTAACTGTGAGTGCTTATGTGGTGGGATGTATCATTAGCTAGCTCAGTTGGCTGGAAAGCTGACGTGGATTGGATTAGTGCAAATTGATCCCTATTCCGTCTGCAGTGGGTTTGGGTTCTCCCTCTTTGCCCTATATTTCGTCGAGGTTGTCACGCTGTGTATCATCAAAACTTCTTTCAAGCAGAGAACTTGAGGGGAGACATGAATAAAACAATGCACACCATGAGTGAAATTTAATGATTATGACGGTGACCCTCTCCATCAGCTGGAGAGTCAGGTGCAACCTCACTGCAACCTTTCTGAGCCTCAGCGACCTGATTTAGTGTCCTTCAGCAGGAATGGTGGGATGAGGAGCAGAGTCAGGGAGAGATGTATGGCTACAGAAGGAGGGAGTTAAGAAGATGGTGGACTCTCCACCCAACTATGCAGCCAACCTACCTCCAAATTACACCCTACGTGACAGGCAAGTCATAGATGAAGCAAAGCAGCATATACTTATGATGTCTACAATTGTATTACTGTGGTCAGCCAATTCTGTCCCTCTAGAAAATGCATTTATTGCTCTATGGTACTCAAAGAGCCATTCACTGAAACACCTATGAATTTTGTTAAATAACCTCGAAAGGCTACTTAACTTTACAGTTTGTTTCTGTTTTTGTGAAACTGCACAAAAGAATCAAGGTCTCATATTGAAAACTCCTTTGATAATTTTTTGTAAGGGCAAAATCTATATACTCATGTCAGAATAATTCGCTGTATGCCTGAAAAATAGAGCCTTGCAGTCTTGCTATTGCTTTCAGAACTGTGTAACAGATAACTATATTTTTAGAGATGCCATTATCAACTTTTGTTAAGTTTGCCCTGAATATATCCTTTTTATTTATTTCATTCATAGCATGTGGGCACTGTGAGCACTTTATTGCTCATCCCTAATTGCCCAGACTGCAGATAAGTGTCAACCACATTGTTATGGTTCCAGAGTCACATGTAGACCAGAAGAGATAAGGAAGGCATATAAGGAAGACATTAGTGATCTAGAAAATTTTTTTAAACAGCAATGCTAACTTTTTATTCCAGATTTGAATTCAAACTTCACCATGTCTCATGGTGGAACTCAAACCCATGTCCTAGGACATCTGCATGGGGTTCTGGATTACTAGTCCACTGGCATTACCACTATCCATCACTGCCCTAAATGTCAATGATATTTTGTTTTACTGTTCCTTTATTTCATTCCTTTAAAGTTATCAACTTAATGCATTGATAGACTAATACAATAACTGAAAAGTAAAATACAAGTGAAAGATATTGGAAATATTCAGCAGGTCAGGCCGTATCTTCTCCTTGTTCAGAAGCTGAACTTGCAAGGAGAACATTAAAGGAAGGGTCATTGACCTCAAACACTAACTCTTGTTTTTCTCACTACAGATTCTTCTGACCTTGAGTATCTCTAATATTTTCTGTTTCTTTTCTGGATTTACATTATCTGCTATATTTTGTTTTTGTGATTAATAGTTGGGGAATTTATTGATTTTCCACCTCTGGAACTTGAATTTGAATCAACTCAGGCTAATAGGATGAAAGTTTCCTCTAAATGCCTAGGTCTTAAGTGAATTAACATGGGGTATTTTCAGCCCAGGTATTGGTGGGCACAGCAGAAAAGCTCTCATAATTTGGCACCAATTCATACTAAATTGGTAATTTTATCAAGAGAGTCTCAGGAATGCTGAATTAAAATAAGGTATAGGCCTGCAATGATTTGAATACTGGAAGAGGCTCAAAGGGTTGAGTTGTCTACTCCAGCTCCTATGCACAGAAAATTGAGAAATGTCACACTGATCCATCAAAGGTGTTATTCAATATTTGCAGCCAAATAGTGGTTCCGCAACTGACTTTGTTATAGGTGACCTGGGATGTGTGATGAGGGCAGTCCATTTCTCAACACTAACACCACTATCTTCCTATAAACTCATTAAAAAAGAGAATGAGAAACAACAGTAAAATTGGACACTTTATTAATTATAATGTTTCCCCACATGGTAAGACGGAAAGACTACTGCCCATGTCCTGTCTTGGGAAAAATCAAAATTGATAATTTTCAAACTTCCACCCACCCCTTTTCTTAGGCACTCAAAGCCAACTTTTCCAATTCTCAGGCAGACCTTCAAATGGACGTGTAGCATGGTTATCTGCTTAGATTAGCTTGTCAGAATCCTGTGCCAGTTGCAGGAACAATTTACAATTTTCGTGACTGCATGCTGCTCATTTTTGTAAGATGTTGAGTTGTCTGATCATGGTGGTTCTACCCGTAAAGAGCCTGCTGACGGCTTCTACTGACAGCACTCATCAACATTTTGGGAGTGAATTGGGGAGGATATTTGTGATGCTAGGAGAATTCAGAATGCTGCACCTGGCCCTGCAAATATTGCGGTTTCTGACTCCCATGACACTCCCTCTTCTGATTTTACTGATCAGGTATGGTTCAGCTCACTCACGGAGCTGCTGGAAACCCTGCTTCACCCCCTGAACTGCTTCCTACCAGTATACAGTGCTAGTCGCTGTTGAAGGTAGCCTCCCAAACCCATGACAGTGGTGGCCAAATTTGAAAATGGTTCTGCTTCCAAGTCCTGGCATCAAGCAGACATGTGCCCACTCTATCAAAGTTAAGAATCAGTACACTCTTCGTCCACTATTTTCCCAGAAGTTGACACAGTTCTGTTTGGCATAGGGTATGTTGCTTAGTTTAATTAATTTAAAAGAAAATTGTTACCTTGTACATGATTAATATCATCAAACTGTTCTGAAGTCTAATTTGTTGTTTCTCTATAGGAAAGAAAAACTCTATTTTGCTGCACAAAGTCCAGCATGATTTAAACTCTGGTGTCTTCAACAACCGTGAGAATGAGATTATACAGGAGATTGTGAAGTATGATAGAGAGATGGTTCAACAAGTGGAACTTCAAAGGCCTCTTGCCATGTCTCACACACCTCCATTTCATGGAGGCTCCATGTTCAATTCTCAAGGCCAACTTGCTAACAATTCAGCAATTGCTACTCTCCAGCAGGCTGTAGCTATGAGCTTCTGTCCTCCATCTACAGGCCTTTTTATTGGGTCTGTAGGTGTACAATCACCTAGGACAGTCAGGCGGTTACAGACTGTTCAGAGTGCAGCAAGCCCACTTTCAGTGTCCCCTGGTCAACAATCGCAGACACAACAACAAGTGGCATCAGTTTCACCATATCCTTCTGCTGTCTCCAGTCCTCCAAACCAAAGCCCATTAACAAACCGAACTTTCCAGTATGGATCACAGGCTCGATCAGGCTCGCAGCTGTCACTAACACAGCAAAAAGCACCCAGCCCTCCCCAGCGTCCTGCAGCTCATAAGAGCACACAGGCATTGCATACTAGCAGCTTATCCCAAGAGGCAAGGCCACTGTCTGCTTCCCAACCCTCATTGCCTCATAATATTTCCCAGACAGTAACCTCAAGTCCACCACAATCAACCAGAGAATCAACATCATCGATAGGAGGTCAGATGTCTGTGCAACCAAGTACAGGAGCTCTCCAAGGATCGATTCGAGGACCTGTCCCACCAAGGATGGCTCTGACGCACCAAATGTCCACGGGTGCAATGTTTCAAGTGTCACCAATGGCCAGTGCACAACAGGACTCAGGTGTTCCCAAGAAAGATTCTGTTGTATGTGTTACAGATATGGACACAGGCAAATCAAGGCTTTCCTCCAACTTGTGATATATATGTCACGATGATCTTTTGTGGTTAATAAGAAGAGGATTAAGTTTAAGAACAGTTAACAGTTGGTTGTGTGATTGAAAAAAGAATTGCTGCTGGTTACTGCGCATTCTAAATGAACTGCACATTCTGCCCTTAATTGCCAATTTACAGAAATTCTACATTTGTGCAAGAGTTCAAAAATCAAATGCCTGACAAATGGAGATGTGCATAATTATATCAAAGGATGCTGAGCTTATCAGCTTTTATTTCTTTTATCAATTTGTCTGTAAAAGATGCATTATAAGTATTTAAACGCAATATGTGATTTTCTTCAGAAAAAGATCTTATTGTGCTATTTGGTGTGATGATGTTGTCTTATGTATTGTTGTATAGTTAGATGTAAATTGTTATCCCAATGCAAATAATTTTAATGTCTTAAGAAATTGCTGCTACACTATAATACAGCAAAACAACCAGCTTTTAACCTCCATTCTTTTTTCAGGGTGTTTATGCTGGAAAACATTTTTATTTTAATACTAAAAATGAAGAGTGTTTCTGATATGGTTTTCCTTGCGTGATGTAGCAGAAATATACAGTAATGCAATCTGATTTACCCCAGACTGTAGGAAACAAAGTCAACTCTTAATTTTCTGTTGAATATTTTTGAATATATTTGGTATCTCAATAATAGATGGATTTCTATTTAATTAAAAACATTGTCCAGTGTTACTGTAAATGGAAATGATTAATTCCTGAATCTGGACACTGAAACAGAGATTATGTATATATCATTAGGACCAAAAGTAGTTTAACATGAAACTACATAGAGAGTTGCAATGGTGGAATTCAAGTAGCATTCTGGACTTTACCAGCCACCGATATTTTCCTCACTAAATGAGCATATGATTTAAGAACATCATCCAACAGCCCATTCAGGGCACTGGCATTGCTGTAAGGGAGACATAATGATCATCAAGTATTAATGATAACCTGATGTCTTCTCAGACTTTAAATCGCAATACAACAACTGAATCAATTAGCTGAGTCGTCCGTTTTTATATGTTAGTTGAATTGAACACATCACTGCAATAAAAACTTTGATTAACTTCACAGATACTTCCCATGAGGCTTGTGACTGGCATCACAAAGTTTGTAAGACATTGTCATTTTATATTGAGCTGTAGTCAAATGCAAGCACAACTGTACCTTTGGGTTTGGTATTATCACTTCCAAAACCCAGAGTCTGGAGTAATTAGAAAATAGGTAAGTGCTTTAGTTGTCCAGTGTAGTTCTGTAAGATCATTCTGGTAAGGTTTGATCAGTTCACTTTTTTTGACAAGATCAGCATTGTCATAGTTAACTTATTGAAGACTGCAATTACTCCAAACTACACCAATTACTATTTTGTGATGTATTTATTAATCAAAAACATATGTATTAAGAAATTTCAATGTTTCTCTAGTTGTATTCTATTACATTCTTATAGATATTGCAAAAGGGAATGGGTGTACTCAAAATACTGGAAAAATCTTTCAATATTTCAAGTGTTTATGAAATCTAGAATCAATTGCTTCTCTGAAAGGAGAAGAAAATAATTTCTTTGCGATAGAAATGAAATGAAACCAATCTGGGAAGCATTTAGATATTTCTTTTTTCAGATGAAAGATTTAACTCACTGATAAAATTGCAGCTTATAATCTTGCTGAGCTATCATGGCCCAATATTGAGAATGTAGCTGAATGCAGATGATCATGTTAGTTTACTTCTCATAACTAAACAGTCTGTTGTCATTGCAGCCATATCTTTAGTATAGAAAAAAGTAACCACTAGGTACTTTTTTTGGAATGTATAAATGTAAATGGACTAAGATTGTTCAATAGCCTAAAATGGAAAGTGCTTCAACCATCATCCCTTCCTTAGAATGACATATTATTGGTGACATAAGTGCTCCATTCTACAAATACTTTTTAGCAATCTTTATGCAATAAATATTTCAAGCTTTTTTCTAGTGCTTCCATAAAGTACTAGAAATGTGCTGTCTTTCATATATTGTAAAGTAATGCAAAGCCATTATAGTACTGTCCTCAGTAATCTATAATGTGTTGCCATCTGCCTTGTTCTTTATTCCAAATTGTGTTAAATTACCATTCATTCACAATTCTCCACAATGGGATCTGGCCTGGGACAAGCCCTTAAAAAAGAGTTAAATCAATAGGCAGCTATGCGCGACATGGAGGAATGTATGATGTTGGCTGTAGGTGATGAAAGAAATCCCTTTTTAGAGGGTTTAAGCTGTATACTTTATTGTAATCATTCATACTGTGTGTAAAACAGCTCAGTTAATAGGAGAGTCAGTTTGCAGTGAAACTAATGATGTAAATTCTTGGCTCAAAAAAATTTAGAATGAAATAACTTTCCATTACTACTGAATTCACAGTTTCTAAAATTTGTAAATTAGTTAGTCACCATTTGCACTAGTAGTAAGGCATACACAATGAATAGTCATTTCAGTTTTTTTCTTTCGCTGTAGCATTCTTGTTGTCTGACGGTTGCTGACTGTACTTTAACTAATCCAATAATCATATTATGAATATTTAATAATTTTCAAGCCAAATTAAATGGCATGCTTAATTTGTAAAATGATTGGAATTGTTTGTTGACCAGCTTGTCTCATTTTTAAAAGGATAAAATGTTTGGTAAGAGAAAACCAATATGCTATTTTCACTCCTAGCCAAGCTTACAGTGCCAGGTAGTAAATTACTTTTAATTTGGATCCATAATTCTTGATTGTATATGTGCATAGTCACAATTGAAGGGTAATCATGACATTTTTTTCATACTCTGCACGTTGCATTTTCTTCATGACTGTAGCCCGTAACACCTTTGTTGTGGCAGAACATGTATATTTATTTTTATAATAAAAATTTCACTTTATTTTCAGTGATTAACTGCTTTGAGGTTCAAACAGCCATTGTTGGTAACTTCTTTTTAATATCACTGTTGAAATTCTGATCTTAATTTTCTTTTGCAATCAAATCTATTTATATGCAACTAATTCAGAGGCAACTTCCTCACCTAAGTAAATGACAGGCACATGTTAAGCTTAAATTAATTGTTTCATGAGGACAGACACTTCACCACCTATAGCAACTCCTTAGCCTTAAACTGCTAAACCATGTATCGCACCATGTATGCACTTCAGGTACATAAAAGGGTAGAGATTTTATTAAATGCTTAAACTGGCAATCTTTTTTGCAGCCTTTTTTATTCATTTTCACAGATTTTGTTTCTAATATTATGCTTTGTCGGTGTGCTCTGTGATTAACTAATATGTAATTGTGTAACATTTAATATTAATGCCTGCTCAGGAGTTGCATTGACATCCAGTAAATTCAATAAATTCAATCTTGTGTTGAGAAATGCAAGTCTGGACACTGAGAAACTTGCAGAATCTTTACTGAACCTTTCATATTTAATTGAATGTCTTTTCTTGCACTTATTTTGTCGGCCATACAGGCACTCAATGTTAACTGTCTGTAACACAAAGTGTAAGAAAGTTTGAAAGAGTCATCTTATCCATGTTAGAGTCTGCATAAAATGTAATAATGCAACAGTATTTCTGGAGTGTTGTATGTTTGGACTGTAAAATAATGTATAAACTAAATGAATTGTCCTTTAGTTCCAACAAATGACATCTTTTATGCATAGTTTTCCAGCCAATGGAAGAAAAAAAAAAAAATGTAATGTGGAGTGTTTATATTCCCAAATGCAGGTAATTTCTCACTGCACTTACAAAATTTCAAATGTTCATGTTGCTTTTGAATGTCAATGAAGTTTTTCGATTATTTCTGTGGATTTAGTAGACTTAAGCTAGTGCCTGGCAAAATCAGGATATTATCAATGAAGTAAACTTAGCAATGGGGTGAATGTATATTGCAGCAACATTATCTTTTCTTCTGTATACTGTGTTTTATTTTTCTCCCAAAGAGATCCTAGTTGAACCAGTTAGAGGTCTTGATTTAGCAGAGGTCCACCTTGGCTGCATTCCATACTGACAGTTGTTTAACCAGATTACACTTGTTTGCCACCTCAGAACTTGGTCCAATACTTGTATGCATGTTACATTCCTTTATATTTTTCTAAAGTGTACTAGATAGGGCCCCATTTTGCTAAAGTGTACAATCTCCTAAGTTTTATGTCCGGGGAAGAGAAAATAGAGCAAATTCAAAAAGGTAATGTTTCTACTGAGTTAGTTTGGGCCCCGCTTCAGACTGTCATGATTAGTGGAGATTGCAGTACCAGTTCTAAGTAATGGATTAATGTCCTGCAGAGGCTTTTATACCTGATGGGCACATGTGGCCTTCTTCATTTAAAGTAGGTGGGGTTGTTAAGCTTTGTTATAGAGAAATAGGCTTGCATTTGTGTAACACCTTTCATGACCTCAAGAAACCCAACAAACAACAGTTAAATACTATTCCAATGCTGGAGATGATGCAAAGTTAAAATCCTAAAGAAAGGGAAAGCATTTCAGTTATAGTAACTAGTAAGTGGTATTAGATTCTCATGTGTGAGCCTGGAGTTATTTTTACCACCACCAACAACTTGTACTTGTATAAATAATTAACTTAATAAAATGTCCCGAGGTACTTTGCAGGACCATGATCGAACCAAGCCACATAAGTAGGTCCTGGGATATGTTGGCCAAAGAAGAGTAAGGAAAGATACAGAGGCAGAGAGGAAATCTCATAGTTTAGCAGCAGCTACTATCTGAAAGTGTGGTCACCGATGATGGAAATATTAAAATCAGGGATGCAGAAGAGGAAGCCATTGGATGCCTGCAGAGATTTCGAACAGTTATAAGACTGAGGAGGGTCAAGATATACAAAGCAGCAGAGCCATTGAAGGATTTGGTAACGAGGATGAAAATGATCAAGTCAAGATATTGCTGATTGGGTGCCAATGTGAACAACATTAGCTCCAATTTCTTTACGTTGTGCGTGGCTACTCGTTTCAGTATA